GTTGTTTTATATAGATCTAATTATATAGCCTTTCACTGGATTAGCATCACAAATTAGAATAAGGTGAACAAGGCCAGCAATGCTGTGACAGTATAGGCTTTCTAACATTCACCTGTTACCTACTGTCAATTCAAATAGTGAGTAAACTGTACCTCATCTGTCATAAATCGTATTTTTGCTGGTAACCTCATAGCAGAGAGTAGAAGGATAGTTGTATAGAAGGAGAAACTAAAACATTAAGTGTCTGCCATGCATCAAATACAATTAATTTTTTCACTGAATCATCAATACATCTTGATTCCAGGATAATCAATATACCCTGACTTACTAGAGAATAAACCAAAGTTTCCCATATTGACGTAAAATTTTGTTGAGAGGAATAAAAAATTTAGCCAATAGGTTTCTCAAACTTTCTGGGATGTGCATGTAACATACCCAGATATTCTTTTATGTTCATATACATCTTTTATAGATGTAAAGTTGTGTTCTGTAATGTGGGGGTCTGTCTCTTTTTGCTTGCCCAAGGTTTCTTTCTGGTAAGCAAATTCCCACCCTCCTCCTCTTAGAGAATTGCTTCCCCCCAAAGTCCCAGCCAACCACAGCACCTGATCTTGGCACAGTGACTGACATCAGTGTACCCAGTGGTTGGGATGTGTGCCAAATGACACCAATCAGAATCCTTTCCTGTTTCAACAGGAAGGATAAGAACATTTTTATAAAATGTGCTGAAACCCATTATGTACTCCCCTTTGGTCTGTGTGGGACTTGGGACGTAGTGAGCAGTGCACTCAATCAAGTGGTCATTCTCCTTATAATCTAGGACCAAGTAAATCTGAGAATCCAAGTAGCTGGATCAGAATTAAGTTTGAATCTCCTAGCACCACCCCCTCCCATTTTGGCTGGATTGCTCCCAACAGAAGGTACCAGCCAGGCCAGCCTGGGGGTATTATTAGGCTATTAGGGAAAAGAAAGAAACCCCATGTCCAGGAATTTCCAAAATAGGTCTATATAACGTCCTATCCTGGTCATTAGGAAGTAGCCAAGAGGAGATGATACTTTTGGGGGGTTAGCAGCCTAGGGTGGCCAAGCTGCCTTACAAAGGTGTATGGGCCAGGAGGAAGTGAGGAAAAAAAGACTAAAAAAATCCTTTTTAGTGAACTTTTGAGAAGGCTGTTCAGCCTCTGAATGGTGGTAGGAAGCATGAAAGATCCACTAATTACCTTGACTATCAGCCCATTGTATGAGACTTTGCAATAAAAGGCACATCATTGTCAAACTAGAATGGTCTGGAAAGCCAAAAGCATGGCACAGATTAGTTTCAAGGCTGAGGTAGGCTGACTGGACTAGAATAGCAACACTGTACCCTAGAAAACTGCCAGCACTAATAGGTGCAAGAGAGGGCCAGAGGTCTGATGGAGTCCACGTGCCCAGAGCAGGTGTGGACAAGGCCCCTTGTCGTGGGGCCTCTCTGCGTGTAAGACAAGCAGATCACAAGTCCAAGTCAGAGACTGAATCCTTTCTTGTGTGAGGGTTGGTGTCCTGTCAGGCCCGGGATGATGGATCCAGGCGGCAGTGGGGGTGATCTGCACAAAGCCGTCTCCCTCCGCAGATGGGCTGCAGTCCGGCTCATCAGAGAACAGGCTCCTCCTAGGGGCATCTACCTGAGTGACAGATGGCTGGGTCAGCAGTTGGGTTTATTTCCACAGTTTGCAGCTCCAGAGAGAGGTGTCTAACCAGCCTAGTTTTCCAAGTGCCAGACCATTGGGACAGCCTGGGAGTCAGTAAAATGACAGGAAGCTTGATCAAGGGGAGTACTAGGGAGAGCCATGACAACGGCCTTGGGTTCTGCCCAGCAGGGAGAATGGTGGCCTCCATTTTTGGTTCTGAGTAACTAGCACTGGGACCGAATGTTGGCTTCAGCCTGAGACAGCACTCAGCTCAGCCGCCCCACCGTGACCCAGGACCAGGGCCCCTGAGAGCCCTATTGAGCCAGCAGCTTTGGTCCAGATGGCAGAGTGAGGGATACCACGTTCCCCAAAGGGACATCTGCCACTTGTCCACATGCACTGAGCTGTGGGGGCCAGGCCAGCTGCACCCTTAAACGTACCACTTCCACTTCAGAAGCAAGGCCTGTTGGATCCTCCCCACTTTGTGAGAAGTTGAGTCCCAGTTGACCTACCCTCCAATGTGACTAGTCAGCCAAAATGTCAGAAAGCTTCCTTGGGTCAGGTGTTTAGTTTTGACAGGAGCCCAGAAACAAGCTAAAGCCGCCTTTCTAAAAGAGTGTACCCAGTAACTGTGTCCAGAGGGTGGTGGGTCCAAGACTGAGGGTGCCACTGAGCACAGGCTACTGCCTTCGTCAGAGGCTCTCATCAGCAAAACCATCAATCACAGACACTTGTAGCTGTTGGTTGGAAACCTCAGGAATTTCTCCAGGTGAAAGCTCAAACTGGCCCCCATACGTGGAGGGCAAGGAGAGACTGAAGAAACGGCAGGCCACTCCCGATTGGTACGTGGCCGTTTCAATAAGCAAGGGAACTCACATATTACCTTTGTGTTCGGTGGTCACAAGACAAGTAGGTGTCCACACCTGCCCACCAGAATCTTAACAGTTTATAGAGAGGCCTTGACTGGGTTTAGTTATGTATTCGATCCAGAGGATCTCCACCACAGCTCTGTCTCAAGACTGTGTCCTTGAAACACCTCCCACTGTGAAGATGGTGGGTGGAATAGACATTCCAAGGACAGGGAGGGAGGGAGGGGGATCGCCGGGGTCCTGCTCTCGGGTCAACGGGGGGGGTCATGTCCTCTCGCTGAGCCCCTCCAACAGTGGCTCCAATGACCGAGAGCTTGCCACAGCTTGGTAGATTGTTACAATGGAGCAGAGGACTTCCCTTTTGTTGTCTCTGAATGAGAAAGATTTGGGGCAGTGGTTCTAGACCAAGGACCAGGAAATTGGCATATGGGGTTTTACAATTTACAAAATACTTCCGTTGGGGCACCTGGGTGGCTCGGTTGGGCATCTGCCTTCGGCTCAGGTCATGATCCCAGGGACCTGGGATTGAGCCCAGCATCAGGCTCCCCGCTCAGGGAACCTGCTTCTCCCTCTCCCTCTGCTCACGGTCTCTCTCAGTCAAATGGATAAATAAAATCTTAAAAAAAAAAAAGAAGAAGAAGAAAAAGAAAAAGGAAAAGAAAGAAAGAAAGAGAAAGAAAGAAAGAAAGAAAGAAAGAAAGAAAGAAAGAAAGAAAGAAAGAAAGAAAGAAA